ATAAAATTGTTGGTCAGCTCCTCCGATACGTACCTTCTAATTTGTCTAACACCAACAAATTTCTTGTCCGCTTGCGTTCGTGTAGGCTTCAAGAAAACTTCGTAATAAGAACTTCACGATGAAGATGTCTTCTTTGTAATAGACTGATGCATAAGGTTTTCTCGTGTTTTATTCTTCCGTATTTCGCTAGCACTGATGTTGGTATTTCGTCATCACGTATGCGGGACGTTGCATGATACTCTTTTATCACACTAGCTATCATTCTCTCACGCTGCGAAAGCAGACGACATCACAATTACCAGTGTGACAGAATGTACCTGTAGCATAGCCTGGTTTTGCTTCCGATTTTGGCTGGAATGAGAAGGAAGCCCATACCGAGCTCGTGGAAACATACGGCAAGGACGTCATCTCTTACCGCACATGCAAAACTTGGCTCGCCAAGTATAAGAAAGGAGACTTCCTCTCGAAGATGCTACAAGATCAGCAGTTGTGTTTGGATGTGCTACATTTCACCGGGAGAAGGACCCCTGCTGAACCACCAAAGGAATGGCGACCATGCTCAATAGACAATTGTACGTGGAATGGATCAGCTCGGCAAGCTGGTTGATGGTCCCACGCGAACTATCCGCTGATGACCACATGAGAAGGGTTGCACATGTACTTCTCTTCTCACTTTCCAGAACAATCTCTACTTTCTCAACTCGAGATCACTGGAGATGAGACGTGAGTCCTCTGCGATAACTCTGTGAGGAAGCGGCTGTGGCTCGACAAAGGAAAACAGTCAGAAGCTACCCCAAAGCTAATCTTCACCTCAAGAAGGTTTTCCTGCCCCGTTGGTGGTCCAGAAGAAGCACTGAGCACCGGAAGCTGCTGGAGAACGCAAAAATGATCGACACTTCCACATACGTCACGCAGTCGCGGAAATCGAAAAATCACGTTGACCGTACACGCGGATCGAGTACGGAAATCTACTTCCACAATGACGACGCAAAGGTGACCCACGCCGAGCTGGAAAACAACGGATGGCTGACTGTTGCACAGCCCCCCTTACAGCACTGACCTCGCTCCTTCCGACTACTGGCGGTTCAGCCATCTGCATTGCTTGCTAGATAGAACGAAAAAATTGATTTAGAAAATGACCTTAAAAAGGCACTCGACGACTTCTTCATGTCCCAGCCCCGTCCATCTGGGCGGAAGGAATCGACAAGGTGCCTGAGCGTTGGCGTCGAGTTATGAATGGTGATGGTGTACATCTTTAATCTTCAGGTTGGTTCGCTATTGAGAGATTTACAAAAAAGTGAGTGAAAAAACGTATGCATCAACCTAATACAAAACGTTGTTATTGAAGTGAAGAGAGGTGCCGGGAGGGGAATGCCAAAACTTCTCAGTGCTGCCCTCGAGGAAAATACGCATAATTTGGGAGGGGAGGAGACATTAGCATTGGTCGACGGCCACAATTTGCAACACCTCCTCTTTGCAGGCGGCATCATGCTTATACCACCGAACATCGAGCAGAGAGAGCGAATTCTCGATGAATTCAATGACCTCCCTAGAAGGATGGGCTTACGGCTCGAACCATTGAGGACGGGATCATGAGGAACGGAATCGTACCTGCTCGTTTCCTTTGCGCTAGATAGAATAGCTCTGACTGCTCTAGTCATGTGTACGTATTCCTTGTTTGTCTAGATCGAGAAATCAACATGATGAGCAGCTTGCTCCACAATTGAGCAGAAGGAAACGCGCGTAGCGTCAAGCCTTCAAGA